CCAAACACTGACTCTAGATAGGACTTTTGGTAGTTTTTCACAGCCTCCTACACACTTAGAAGGCGAGTGGTATTCTGTTAGTTGCAACTTCACCGCTAGATGTCACTAAATCCTACACACTGGTCTTTTAAGTGCATTAATTATTTTTGGGAAACTGAGAAAGTTTTTCCGAATTTTGCCGTTTCCATCAATCTTTTCTAATGCGATACTTTAAAATACGTTCATGGAAACAAACTTCACAGCCTGTTTTCACTCCCAGGTCGTCAAATACAGATGCGAGCAGTGTTCGGATAGTTGCAATCTGCAGGTTCACCACTAGCTAATTCCTACACTCTGGTCCTTTACGTACAGGATGTGAATACTTCCTCCACCGCTGGTTAATCGTCTTTCCACTGTGTGCAGATTCTGGGTCTGATGGTCGTACGGAAGCTGCTGGATCTGATCTTCTCGCAGCACGACTTGGCCTGGCTGGACGACATCCTGCCAGACAAAGACAAGAAAAAGAAAGAGGATGACAAGAAGAAGAAGAAGGATAAGAAGGCTGTGGAGCCAGAGAGCGATGAGGAGGTGAGGGGGAAACTGTGGGCAAACATGAAACTAAACTCAAGATTACACACAGATACTGCTTCTGCCTGCCAAACACACAGCTACTGTAATCTCCAGAGTTGGCGAGTGTTCTCGGTGTTTACTGTGCATTTAAATGTGTGTCGCTCCATCTGTTGTGGGTGTGTCGATCCTCGGTTTGTTTTCTCTGACTAATACTGTGTGTTTCTCCTCTCTGTCCCACAGTGTTGCTGAAAAGGCACTGTACCACACTTACTACAGTCTTTTTGTCTGTCCGTTCTCCTTTTAGTACGTCCATCCACCTCGCCCACTGTGTTCACTCTGTTTGCATCTTTGTGCCCATTATGTCTGAACTGAAGATGCTCCACTGAAGGATGAGGCTTGTGATATTCTATAGTTTTGTCAACAAATTCAAAGAAAACAACAAAATTAACTATGTCTTTAAGGATATATATATGAAATTTGCTGCCATTAGATGTTTCACTAGAGCACCAGACTCCATTTACAAAACCAGTAATTTTAGAAACAAACAAACTCGTCTTTGTTAGTCTTTCCACAGTCTTTCAAACCAACGCTGGTTTGGTCAAAATAAACCTTTAATTTATCGAGTCAGATGGGAAAGTATTTGGGAACTGTCAACAGGATTCCTACGTGTCCTGGAAAACCTGGAAATTTAGAGACTAGTTTTCCAGACGAGGAAACACCTGGAAATTGGTTTAAATGACCAAATATCCTGGACCTTTTTTCACAGCAGCCATTTTGACATGAAACAGTAGGGTAAACACAGGTGATACCAATAATACTAGTGAATGTTGGCCTTCAGCCTTCATTAGTACTATCATTGGTGACACATGTTTACCCTACTATATCATATCAAAATAAAATTTGAAAAAGGTCTATTTGGAAAGTTGAGAACTCAGCTGTGGTGAGAACACTCTCCACAAGACTCCATAGACAAAAACGCAGATTTAACCTCACAGACCAGTGTAACATCCTAACTCCCATAAAGCTTTAGTGGCTTTTGTAACTTTCAGAAATCTACTTTGAACCTTAACTTCATTCAAGCGTATTTACTGTCAGTTAGCAGTGAGGTTCACACGGTTTATGTAAAGTAAAGTTGAACTCACTTTTCTGTTTTGACTTCTGGCTTTTAGTGCGTCTGTGACTTCCTGTCTGTAGCTCTCAGCTCCAAGCTCATCGGTTCCAACTGAAACACGTACAGCTTAAATACGTGTCACAAATATGTAGTTTCATGTTAAAAAAAAGGGTCATTTATTTCCTAAAACAGCTGCTAACTGTAGAGTCTATCAAACAAACGGGAGGAAATGTGTTGGGGACTATTTTTAGCGGCGGATTAATCCACATTTGGTGCTCTAGTGCGTGTTTGTGGCAGCAGGACAACATCAGTGTGTCACAGAGGAAGAAGATCATATTTTTTGAGGGTTACAGAATATATCAAGTCTGATCCTTTAAAGTCACAGTTTGTCCTGCATGCCGACAACTTCCTGTTTCTGTCGCTCAGCCCAACAGCTCCGCCCCCCCTCCAGTGAAGATCGCAATGGAGGCCTTAGAACCAGCCCCCGTCCTTGTTAACCCCCCCACCCAAAACCAAACCTCTGAGTGTGAGTACACCAACCCTTCCCTCCTAATTGTTTGACTCATTGTTTAAGCCTTTGATGCATAATAATAATAATAATA